ACAGAATACCTGATTGTTTAAATATATACAAAGAATTTCCTCTTCCAGAGGTCAGGGATCATAACCAGATAGTCTCCTTAGGTTTGTGACATTTCTCAAATGTGAGGAAATATTCATGAATATGGAGAAAATTAGTAAGAAAAGATCATCCAGAAAATCATTTTTCAAACATAGAGGCTAATCTTATTGCTAACTATCATAGTTGGCTCTTTATGATGATTATTTCTGAGAAACAAATATAGGGTCAGTCTATTTACTTCATGGGGAAAATGACCTCCAGGTATAGTAAACTTTCTATTGCCAAAGTAGTACAAAATTAGATGACCATCTGCCAGATACTAGCTAATATTTTCATTGAGTAAAATATTTTTAAAGGCACCTGCTATGAACACTAAATAATTAACCTACTTTATGAGTATCAAACTTACTTGGAGACATCTTAAAAGACAATGAATCAGGGCTACTTCTATGAATACACACACACACACACACACACACACACACACACACACACACCATGGAGTATCTGTGAGCTCAATTCTAAAGTACTGCTTTGGTTTCTATTTGCAAAACTATAGAGTCTTACCTCTTAAAAAGAACATGGAGAATAGGAACTGGACTTGGGCTGCAGCCACCTATAACATAGGCAACAACAAATGAGAACAGGATGGGGAAAGGCATCAGTAGCCTCTTGCTATGTCAATACTGTTCTTTATTGGCTATATCTAGGGACACTCAGAGATGCTGGAGAGGAGAGCCAAGAAAACAAAACAGGGCAGTTCACAGCACCTTAGAGCCATGGCTCTTTATCAGCTGGATCATAACTATATTTTTATTTTAACAAGAAGTACTGTCATGTTCAGTGACTTTGGGTTGCCTGTCTGTCTTGGCCACAATATGTGTGCCCACACTCTTCTGTGACCTGTGCAGTAATTATCTTTCCTGAAAGCACATTTGAAAGAAAGGACAAGAGAAAGGCTACCTACTTTGACAAATATGCTTTCTTCACTGTGACACAAGTAATGTTTCAATTTTTTTTGAAAGACCAGTGTAAATCCATAATACCTCCAAAAGTCAAGAAAGAATAAAATTCTATGGAGCCATCACTATATCAGATGAAAACAAGAACACTTGAGAATGAGATGATGCTGAGAATTTGTATGAAGCTGATAAGTGGATGCCTGGTAAACATATTTATCACTTTAATTTCATCCATTCATCCATCGCTTCAAAGTGTACGGAGCTTTTGCTGTTTAACCTTTTATGGACCGTAGGAAGTCTTCTATAGGTACAGAGTGCCTATTGAAGTCTGCTTTATTCCTACCATCACTTGATCCTTTCTCAAAGCAATTAGCTTAGCATAAACCTCTGTAGAACTAATCATATGTATAACAATCAATTCTTTAAAAAAAAAAAAAAAACAGACCTTAAATCAAAAGTACAGACAGAAGATAACTTATCCAAACAAGACACAGTTGAAAATGAACGCAAGGTCTATTAATAGCTACCCCAGAATATCAGATATGAATCTAAAGTGACCAAACCAGTTAAGACATCAGGTGACTCTGCAAACAAGACCCTCACTGCTTCTTGAGAATGCCAAGTCTCTCCTAAATCTAATATTTCTTATCTTTGTCAAAAGTAACTACTTCTGCTACTTGTGAAGGATATTTTGGGTAATAGCCCAAAAGCATTTAAATCAATAGGGCCTTTTAGATTCGTGTGAGGTAAAATTAGAGAGCAGAAGCAGAATCATTTCAAGGTCATAGCACATCCTGGTTCAAAGGTTTATGTGGGATTCACTTCCCTGACTTTCACTCCCATAAATCCACATTGAAGCACTTCTCACCTGGTTCCTTCCTAAATGTATCTATCTCTCATCAGTTAGCCATAAGATATGGTGGCAATAAAGACTCACTATACTGTGGACAGTCTCTCAGATTCTTCTTTGATCAATGCTTATTCTGCTCTTTATATGTTGGTGGCTGTGTCAGAGGAGCAGCAGGTGGCAATTGAAGTTCAAGGTGTCAGCCAACCAAGAGACAACTCCCTAATAGGTAAATCTTGGATAGGTGAGGCCCCCAAGGCCACAGAACCAGGAATGTCTTTTGCTTCTGCTGTGTCTTTACATGTTTGCTGCTGCCATCTTTCTCTGGTACCCGGCATAGTGTGAATGGATGTAGGGAGATCCCCACTGCCTGTAATGTCGTGTGTTTATCTCCTGGAAACATCCTGTTCTACTGGTCATTTTTACCTGTAAATTATTATGAAGATGATTCCTTCCTAAGCTGTACTATCTGATTGATAATAACAATGTCAGTTTATACAGAGTTTTGATGAATAAAAATATATGCAAGGAAGTGTCGCACAGCTAGAACACATGAGTATCTATTGAGGAGCCGTATAGACAGTGGCTTAGGTTAATGATTAAGAAACATGACTTGAGTCCCAGTAGCCCAGCTAGTTTAAATTCTTCTAATCTTAATTTTGGAAGATATTGTTCACACGTGTTGATGTGCATCATTAGGTGAAACAAAGCCTTAAAATAACTTCAGGTTAGATCAGGTGTTTTGATAATAGCTTTAAGATTAAAAACCCCAGAAAACAATCTAAAATTCACAAGGACACATAGCTGAGGTCAAAAATACAAAGCAGCCCAACTGTTACTAGCTGACATTCTTCCTTGCTAGGGTTGGTTGATGAGCAAAGATGATGATTAATTCCTTGTACCCATTCCTGCCCTCAATCTTCTGATATAAGAAACTTTTGACGAGTAGAGATGTGCCCTAAAGATTTAAAGTATAGCTGATTATTTTTATGTATAAAAGTTTAGGTTTGTGATATCTTTAAGATTACCTTTTAAGATAAATAAGAAAGTGATTGATTTTTTCTTTGTAACTACAAGATGCAGCCTGCCAACAAAAGAGTTGGCTGAGAAAAAAATACTTTCTGCTCGCTCATGTTCTGCTAATTTGTAACAAATTACATAGATGTAAATGTATGTGGGTTATTGGGGTGATTGTTTTTAATCATGTAAGGGAGAAGCAAAACAACTTTTACCTGTACTCATTATAACCATCCACTTGAAAAATAGAATGTAATCACATTGTGGTTCCTGTATTGCCTGAAAGATTTTGTTGAGGTATATAAGCTGTAGGGAAAAAAGTATACAATAGAAGAACAGAGAAGAATAGAGAATAAAGAAGGAAATCATCAAGAGAGAGTGTGGGTGTCTTTGTCCCTAAGCCCCTCAGATAGAAAAGTCTAGTACACGCTCACTCTGTGGATTTCCCTTCAAGCCCTGTGCTGCTGGAGGCTGGCCCCCAGGCAGCAAAATCTACACCGACTTGACAAGCTCTTACTTCTATTCATTTTCAAAATAAGCCATTCAAGACTTTATTTTGATACCGAGAATCTCTTAAATTTGGGGGTAAAATATTCATTTGTAATTCCTTTTGTTCTAAAAATAATATAGAATATTCATCCACCACCCTAGAGAGACAATTACTGAAGAAAACTGTTCTCCGCCCAACTTACTGCTCCCATTAAGAAAAAGGGATATCTAGTTGGCAGGACTGGGAGACAGAACAGAGCAACACCACATTCATCCTCAGAACCTCCATCACCATAAGCAGATCAAACATTCTGACCAGCTGACAGAAGAAGCTTGCTCACTTGTGGTTATTTGGCTAGCCCCTGGACAGCTGGTTCAAAGCTTTCTAGTTCAGATGAAGAGTTACTAAGACTGCTTGGCCCACATTCAAAGCCATGTTTTCTCATCAGTTTCATCAATCATAATGCCAACTTTCTTTTTAATCCCCATCTGTCCATCTTCTCTGTCCCATCTCTCCACTGGCTCCAAAATCTGGAGAGAAAGAGCAATGTCATTCACTAGGAAGCCATGTGCTGTTCTGATGGATGAGGTTTCAAACCAACTCTCCTCTATCTGTGACCACCACATTGAGTAGGAGTGACAGGGATGTTGACCCTTCTGTATCATTTGCCTTGTCCTTCTTTCTGTGAGTAATAGCACACATTTGTCTGCAGCTCCCAAGGTCAACTGTGATGTCTAGAATTACTGGATAGAATTTCTTCTAGTTAAAGTTAACAACTGTAGAATGTCTGTGTCTGTGTGTAACTGGGTGGTAGAATACTTACCTAGAAGATAATAGCAGCATTTTTTGATATCATACCCAACTGTAGTAGTTCTTAACTTATTCACAGATATAGACTGTTTATGTTATTGTGTAGATATGTAACTCATCTCATAAAAATAAACCTAAGCATATACTTTGAAAGTTTTGCATATATTACAGTAATTGGGGATACTGGAGAAGAGGAAGTCAGCGTCTTCTGTAATACAGCCCCTGGTGAGATACTCATGCTCCAGAGAGCTCTGCATCCACGCCCTCTACAATAGTTCTCATTCAACATGGTAGATCACAAAGCAAAAATAAAAAGGCATGAAAGTGGACTTAGTAAAAAGCAAGACAGTAGGGGTAGAAAAGAGGGTAGAAGGATGAGTGTGACCAAAATGTATCATATTACCCATATAAAATTGTAAAGTAGTAAATTAATTATAAATAAAAAGTTAGCATCTACTTTTTCTCGTCTCTTGGACTCTGAGTGATAAATGGTCAGCAAAGAGAGTTGTCAACTCTGATGACAGACAAGGACAAGATCCTGACTCTTAGGTAGGAAAAGAACATTGTAGTCATTAATGCCAACCTCTTGCTTTATTTATTTTTTTTTGTCTGTTATTTATTACAGTACTGATTGGAACCTAACGTCTTTAGATTGCCAGGAGAACACTCAACCACATTCTAACATCTAACAAACCTCCTTTTAGACTGTAAAAGCAGATCAAGAAGGATGATCTTCAGGGTTTGATATACAGATGCCTTCAAAGTCCTTTAGGTTGTTAATATTTTATGTGCATGAGGCATGTATAAAGACACTCTGGAAATTTTTCCATCTCACACATTTATCTCTTCCATACTGATTTTAAAAAGATGCACAACAGAAGTGTCCACTGTTTCTGGAACAATTAACTTTACCTTTGTATGGGTAACTACTATTGCATGCTGCTTTAAGACAAAAAGAATCCAAATGTGAACAGATTTTTAAACGTACTGAACATGATGCCAAGACAAAGTAGGTGTTGAGTAAATTATAATTATCTGGCAATGGAAGAAAGAAATACATCTTTTAAAAGCCCACCACCATTATTTGTATTTATTATAACGATACTGTTTATGTAAACATTTCATTAGATGCAAATCAGATCTGGGCAATTGGCCAAAGTGCCTCTAAGCTACACAGTCCTGGTAGTGGTGTTGTATAACACTATACACCTGTCAAGAACATTAAGTTATAATGTCACATTTTTACCTCTTCTAGACTATGTTTTTTTTTTCCTTCCTTTAGTTGGTAGCCATTAGGTCACTGCTAGAGTCCTATTAGATCTACCTGTCCTAAAAATTGGTCTCCTTCAGGCATTTCTCAGCTTTGTCACACTGGACATTGAGGCTAGATCAATCTTTATTGTGGGGGCTGTCAGCATCTTTGACCTCTGTTCACTAAATGTCAATGGCCTCTCCCTTCTCTTCAGTTGTGACAAACAAAATGTCCCCAGACAGGAGTCAAAATGCACTTTTGGTCCAAGACTAGAACCATTGCCTTAAAAGACTCTTCCTGAAACTAACAGACTAAGTGAAATTTAAATTAGAGAAAGTTTTTTGGAGATGACTGAAGCCAGGTGACTCTTGAAGGAAGAGAAGCCAGGGCAACCCATAATAGGTGGCTGCTACTTTCTTCCTAATGATTTCCATGACTCGGGAGCCTCTCAGCATGCATGAGCTGGAAGGAAATTCCTCCTTGTGACCTGTTAACCTCTGCTATTTTGCTTCAGGACCATTTCTTCTTCTGACCCACCATGGCATCCTTTCTAGTTCTAATCTGTTCTGTAATAGAAGCACTCAGCACTCATGAGAAACACCAAATTCATTACATCCAGACACATAATCAATGGCTGGGTTTTCTTAATGAAAGGGAGTGGAGATAACAAGGAAGAAATGAATGTAGTGATTTAATTAGATTTGCAGGCCATCATCAGTTTACCTGCTTAGTATACTCCTTGGCCCAGTGATTCTGAAAAGTTCTTCACCAAGGTGGATAACTCCCTCAAGAGACCAGACTTTCATCCATGACATCAGTATGTAGCCAAATGCCATATGGGAACTGGTTTGCTGTGTGCCTATTCCTAAAGCATCTTCATTCAAATTCCCTCCATCTTGCTAATTTATGGAGGTGCTCCATGCCAAGATGCAATGATACAGCTCATTAAGAGCCACCAGGGAATATTTAGGAAACAAGCAAAAGGAGCCGTTCCTTCATTTCCTTTCCCTAGAGTCCTATTTCTACTCCAAGTTTTTTTTTTCTGTTTCTTCCAGTTTGAATAACTAAAAACTGGCTTGAAAAACAGTAGGCCACAACAATTCATCTTTAAGATAGTTTTTAACTTTTACCTTTCCTGAGATATGTGTGATTTACTTCCAATTCTAAATTCCAAGCAAGCCAACTGAGCTCATATTTATCATCTACAATTAAATAATTCATTTCTCTGATTCAAAGCATCCAGTTCAAACCATCAAATTGACAGGAACTCATCCACTGTATTCATTAGAAATTCACCTGTCTTCCTCCCTCCCCTTAACAACCCTGCCGTCCACAATTTGAGTAGCAGTTTCAAAGCATGCTGAGCAAACAATCAATACCTCATTAAGTTATTTCAAATCACTGAACTACAGCTGTTTCAGGGTGGGAGCATGAAATATAGTTTCATCAATAGAAACCCCAGTTCTGTCCACACGTAAACAAAACAAATGGATAATTCAGTCAATTTTGTAAAGAAAAAATTCAAATAGATTATTTGGCCTTGGATAATCCAAACAATCATGTGCCTGATTTTTAAAATCATTAATTTTGTCACATCCATGGGCCACAGAACTGATAGAAGCTGTCGTGATTTTCATGGTCCATTTCTTAAAATTCCTATAAGCAGAAAAAAAAATGCCTTTTATGTTCTTAAATACCACTTAGAAAATTGCCCTGCCACTTGGCTACAAACACATTCTTTCTTTATCTGACCTCAGAGTGGGAGTGACCAAAAGTTAATCATTGCATTTGCAATAGTTACAAAGAGTGAAGTTTGAGGTTAGAGAACCTTGTAAAGGATTATATCACATGAATCCTGGGCTCAACTAGCTTGTATGCCCAGATGGGGAGACAAGCTATCATAGACAGGGGGAAAAAGAAAAGGTACCAACAATTCGTGGCAGAATAAAACTCATTGGCAAGAAACTCCTCATAAAGGAAGGAGAATGGCTAAATAGTAGGAATTTGGGGCTGGGAATTCACCGATGGCGGCTAACATTTTCTAAGTACATAGGTTGATGATGTTTCTACACACATTCCAAACTGATTTTTTGTTTTGTTTTGTTTTTTGTTTTTCTAGACAGGGTTTCTCTGTGTAGCTTTGCGCCTTTCCTGGAACTCACTCTGTAGACCAGGCTGGCCTCGAACTCACAGAGATCTGCCTGCCTCTGCCTCCCGAGTGCTGGGATTAAAGACGTGTGTCACCACCGCCCGGCCCAAACTGATGTTACACACTGCACTTAGGGCAATATTTCTATATAAGAGGAAAATGTTTTGACTTTGTTAATACATTAAGTAAATGAATCAAATCTGTACTATCAAATAGTCTATGATGCCAAGAGATAGAAATTGATGTATCACCATTAAACCACCCTAAACAAGAACAAGTCGATGATTTGGCTGCTTCCAGTTCTCGAGTAGCTCCAATTTCTCCCTATCTGTTCTTAGAACAAACAACTACTTTTACTCCCCAAAACAGCAAGAGATGGGTGATTTCAGAATGAAGGTTTTTGAAGTTTTAATGTAAAAAATGCTATTAAGAGTACCAGGTGACACCACAGAGCAGTTTGGTTACAAGCCCCTACTAGGCACAGCCTGCCATGATAGACTACTTTCCTTCTGCCTTCTTTTACTGGTTTCTATTCCTCTTTCAATACCTATATTTTTTAGCTAATTCTTTTTCTCTTCTAATTATTTTTAAAATATTCCCCTCATTGAAATAACTATGTACTAAAATAGGTACAGATTAACATATACCTCAATTAATTTTCTTACACAAAGTATAATGATAGTTGAGGGATGATAATTTCTTTCTATTCTTCCACATTCTTAGCTATGACCCTACAAAAAAGATGGATGAAAACAGACTAGAAAACCCATAAACAAATCCATGAATTTCAGTCAGTTTTGGAGAGATGCTAGGAACATGTGATGGGTAAAGGAAAGTTTCTTCAACGAATAGTGTTGGGAAAACCAGACATCCACACAGGGAAGGGAATCAGAACCTTCTGTCATAAACAAATATCAACTCAAAACGAATGGAAGACATACATGCATGATCTACACTAATGATCCCCTAGAAGACAACCCACTGTGGCATGGGTGCTGACAAAGAGGTTGTTCTTCATTGTGTCCCTAAAGGCACAGGACAAAAAGCAAAAGCAGACAGGTGAGAGTCTACCAAACCACAAAGCCTCTTCACAGCAGAGGAAAGAATCAGCAGAGTGATGACCACCAGCTACAACAGTGGTTCTCAAGCCGTGGGCCGAGACCCCTTCACCGGACTCACTAGAAACCATTGGGAAGCACAGATGTTTACAGAACAATTCCTAACAGTGGCCAAATAATAGTTATGAAGTAACAACAAACATAATTTTATGGTTGGGCGTCACCACAGTTGGGCATAAGGAACCACATTAAATGGTCGCAGCATTAGGAAAGTTGAGAACCATTCCCTACAGAACTAGAGAAGACATATGAACTACATACATCTGAAAAGAGGCTAATATCCAAATTATATTAGATACTAAAACAACCCCCTAGAATGAGTGAATAAATAAACACTAAAATAAATAAATAAATAAATTACTTGAATAGCAATTTCTCAACAGAAGACAGATACATATACAACTGGCATGTGAAAAAGGACTAGACAGTTGTAACCGCCATGGGAAGTTTGCTTAATCCACAGTGAGGTGTGGCTTCTGCTGGGTCGACTGACTGTTACCAGGGGGGCAGATGGTGGCATATTGGTGGGGATGGGAGAAGGGATGGGGGAAGGGCCTGGTACAACGCCGATGTGAATGGACATAATACAGCTCCCACGGAAACAATGTCGAGATTTTTTTTTCCAGACATGAAAAGCAGAGCTTCTGTGTGATGCAGCAACCCTCGTTTTGGTTATTTGGCCGAAAGAAACAAGATCGGTGATTCAAACAAGTGCCTGGATTTAAATCGTCATTGCAGCATTGGGAACAATATTTAAGGTGCAGAATCACAGAGCCAGAGAGAAGGTTAATAGACACTAGACTAGCGGAGGACCCGAGTTCAACTCCCAGGACTCATGTCAGGCAGCTCACAACTGCCTGTAACTCCA